TATTCTGAGTGAAGTTTACGATTATCTGTTCAGAACACAGCATTATACAATATGTCATTTGATAGATGAAAACCTTGACTTTTTTAGTGGTTGTAGGTAATATATATAATGAAACGTAAGAGAGAGCTATCAACGAATTGTGAAAGAGTGGGTGTGGCAGGAGGGGTCTGATTTTCTATTTCATAGCTCTGTAACCAAACAAAATTGAAGGCTATAAAATAATGAATTGTTTGAGCAATAACGATTTTATAGAGAATATTTTGTTTAATTTCATGCATTTTCGAGGGGTGGTGGATAAAATAGGGATGATGATATGCTAAGACTAGTGGAAATACAGGATTTTTTTAAATATTTTTTTGTAGAATTAAGAACTTAAAACTTGTATACTAAAACCTTGTGTCATGCGCAGTAAAGGGTACCTGGGGCGAGAGGGTTAAATGACGTATTATATTGCGTTGTTTTCTGTAAAGAGAATTGTGAATTCCGCTTTCAGTTCAAGCTTGATATCTAATTTTTAGATATCCCCCCCCCCCCTTATATGGGGTTCAGAATGTTCAATAACTTGAAACACTAACTGTGGATATTGACTGGCTAGAATTTAAAATAAGAACTTCCCACCTTCTTTATTTTCCAAGATAGCAATAAATTTGTTATACCCACTACAGAAGCTCCTCCCAGTTTTTTATGCTTTTGAAATTACATCTTTATTCTTTCTTACTTGACATTGGTACATATTTATAACCAGTAGAAAGATCATACATAATTATAATGTCTCTATCTTTATTCAGTTTGGTAAAAGACACCATTTCCCAATTAGATTTGTTGAATGTGAACCACAGTCAGTGCTTTAACCTGCTTATGTTAATTAGAAAGCCAGATGAATTATAGTGGTTTTGGGGTATTCTGTTTTACTTTTGAATTATTGTTTGTGTTGTAAAATGCATTTTTGAAAACTACATGACTTGTTTTTTGGACAACTAATATAGTGTGAAAAAATAGTGTAAGCGAAGTACACTTAAAGTATGTTCTTTTGAGTCTAAATAGGCCTATAAATAATGGTCAGTGGCAAATTTATTTGTTTTATGTATATATTTTATTTGTTAAGATAGTTTTTAACAAATGTAAAAATTAAAAAATTATTGAATTACATAAGAAAACCTAACCTGAAAAAAACATTATTTTTCAAGTATGCATGTGAGCTGTTCATACATTAAGTAATTTGATGCTTTATATACCATAACTAAAGCTATGTCCTTGTTGGATGATTTATTGGTTAGATGAATTTCAGCTTTTATTACATTTGATTTCACCATTGTTAATGTTAAGGTAGAGAAAATAAGAGATCAGGTATAAAGTTTTACTGGAAAACTTTTGATATTCATAGGAGGTTCTAGAGGCTACAAAAATTAGATATGAAAACTAAGATGAAAAGAAGCATTTGTGTTCTTAACATGAAAGTCATTTTGCAGAGTCTGAGTCTGATTTTTTTTAAATATATTTGTAATGATTACAATGATCTGTAGATTTGTAGGGGTTGGTGCATTGTGCCTATGCTGTACACATAGGGTTAATACAATATATGTATTTATGTGTGTTTGTATAGATAGATATATTATTTGTATAACTGAGGAAAAAGTAAGATGTGATATTTCTGTGGACCAAGTGTTAAGTTTCTACAAACTGTCAAGATTACTGAGTTTAGTTTTAATATGTTTAGTGAAAATAATTGTAAGACTTTGCTCACTGTGTTTTACAGCTTATGGAGCTTAACTTTTAATCAGAAGTTTAAAAGAACTTTGCCATGAATGAATTTTGTTGTGCATTGACATATGTTACTAAATAATGCACAGTTAGTTGGAATTTGGTTTTATCTGGAATTCAGCTATGAAGTGCATTTCTGTTTTTACCTAAACTTTATATGTAGCATTTTTCTTGATGTGAAAGTAGGTAAATTATATTTGTTTGTATGAGTAGTGGTGAGTGAATATCTGAAGTCAGGATGCAGTGTTACTTGTTTCTGTGAGTAGTGTTGGGTGGATATCTGAAGTCAGGTGCAGTGTCACTTATTTCTGTGAGTAGTGGTATATGGATATCTGAAGTCAGGGTGCAGTGTTACTTGTTTCTGTGAGTAGTGGTGAGTGGATATCTGAAGTCAGGTGCAGTGTTACTTGTTTCTGTGAGTAGTGGTATGTGGATATCTGAAGTCAGGGTGCAGTGTTACTTGTTTCTGTGAGTAGTGGTGAGTGGATATCTGAAGTCAGGTGCAGTGTTACTTGTTTCTGTGAGTAGTGTTGGGTGGATATCTGAAGTCAGGTGCAGTGTTACTTGTTTCTGTGAGTAGTGTTGGGTGGATATCTGAAGTCAGGGTGCAGTGTTACTTGTTTCTGTGAGTAGTGTTGGGTGGATATCTGAAGTCAGGGTGCAGTGTTACTTGTTTCTGTGAGTAGTGGTATGTGGATATCTGAAGTCAAGGTGCAGTGTTACTTGTTTCTGTGAGTAGTGGTATGTGGATATC